ACCCCATCTTCCTGAAGATTTCCTCTACCCCAGGTGTTCCTGCCCTTCTCCTTCATTTAGCAAATATAAGGTTGAGGGTGACTTGATCACTGGCTACACCTATCTACATGGAGAACAGCTATTTAATAAGGGGCTCTTCAGTCTAGGGTTCAGTGGGGTTATAGTGAAGATACCCAAGAAAAAATTTTTCAGACTAACACGGCTACCCCTCTGATACTTGATACCCAAGAAAGGAACTCTCAGTGATTGGAATAACTGGTGTAGTATCACACGTACATCTGTGCCAAGCAAGGTACTGTGTAAAATCGTAGTCCAGCATATATATCAGAGGTAGTTGGCAGCATTCTCAGAAAAGAGCAAGCTGGTTTTCGGAAAGGGCGTGGATGCACAGACCAGATGTTCACTGTATGAAACATAACAGAACAAAGGTTCAGAGAAGGGCAACTAAAGTGATTAGGGGTTTGGAACGGGTCCCATATGAGGATAGATTAAAGAGGCTAGGACTTTTCAGCTTGGAAAAGAGGAGACTATGGGGGGATATGATGATAGAGGTATATAAAATCATGAGTGGCATGGAGAAAGTGAATAAGGAAAAGTTATTTACTTGTTCCCATAATATAAGAACTAAGGACCACCAAATGAAATTAATGGGCAGCAGATTTAAAACAAATAAAAGGAAGTTCTTCTTCACAGAGCGCACAGTCAACCTGTGGAACTCCTTGCCTGAGGAGGTTATGAAGGCTAGGACTATAACAGGGTTTAAAAGAAAACTAGATAAATTCATGGAGGTTAAGTCCATTAATGGCTATTAGCCAGGATGGGTAAGGAATGGTGTCCCTAGCCTCTGTTTGTCAGAGGGTGGAGATGGATGGCAGGAGAGAAATCACTTGATCATTACCAGTTAGGTTCACTCCCTCTGGGGCACCTGGCATTGGCCACTGTCGGTAGACAGTATACTGGGCTGGATGGACCTTTGGTCTGACCGAGGATGGCCATTCTTATGTTCTTATGCTTAGAATGGCAACAGCAGCTTTACGTAAAATTCATAGACTTTGAGAAGGCTTTTGATAGCATTCACAGGACCAGCCTATGGCGCATTCTGCGAGCATATGGAAACCCTCTCTGTATAATCAACATCAAAAGCTTCTATTCCAACTTTATATGCAGTGTTGATTACAGTGAGCTCAGTTTTGAAGTCAAAGCAGGAATACGCCAGGGGTGTGTCATGTCTGCAATCCTCTTCAACATTGCCATCGACTGGATAATGCTGCGTACAACAGAAGACATGCCAAGAGGCATTAAGTGGGCACCCTTCTCATCCCTTGAAGACCTGGACTTCACAGATGATCTCGCTCTCCTATCACATACCCAACACCATATACAAGAAAAAACAACTTGACTCAACACATTCAACCAGCAAATTGGACTGAAAATCAATCACAATAAGACAGATATTATGACCTTTAATATTGCCTCACCATCACCAGTATGGATTAGAGGATCATGTTTTCACCAATGTAGAAACATTCACATACTTGGGCAGCACCATCAGCCAGGACGGTGGAACAAGCCAGGACATCTGAAACAGAATCAATAAAGCCAGGAACACCTTCAGGAACTTAAATACAGTCTGGAAATCATCAAAATACAACACTAAAACCAAACTCAAGATTTATCAGAGCTGCATACATTATAGTGCAGAATTATGGGGAATGAGAAAGTATGACATGTCCAAACTGTCTTCATTCTATACAACCTGCCTCAGAAAAATCCTCCGTATCTTTTGGCCCAGAATAATCTCAAACCAAGATCTATTCACACAGTGCAGCCAAGAAGATATGAGCACCATCATTGCCAGGAGATGGATTGGCCATGTGCTTTGAATGGAAACTGATCCCAACACCAGAATAGCAATAAGATGGATACCTGAAGGCAAGTGAAAACGAGGCAGCCCGAAAACAACGTAGCAAAGAGCTGTGGAAGCTGAGCTGAAAAACCTGGGGCACAGCTGAGGACCCATTGAAAGACTTGCCAGAAACAGACAGGAGTGGAGGAGCTTCATCGCTGCCCTAAATGCTGGAGGCATAATGGGAACATGGTGATGATGATCTTCAATCTAACTGACAAAGATATAACACCATCCAATGGCTGGAAGTTAGACAAAATTGGACTGGACATAAGGTGCATGCAAATTGTTGACAGTGAGAGTAATTAACCATTGTAACGATTTACCAAGGGTCATGGTGAGTATCCATCAATGACCATTTTAAAATTAAGACTAGATGTTTTTGTGAAACGTACACTCTAGGAGTTATTTTGAGATGTTCTATGGTCTGTGCTATACTGGAGGTTAGACTAGATGATCACAATGGCCCCTTCTGGCCTTAGACTCTGTGAATCCCTGGCCATTACAGACCAGGTCTCCTTTATTCCTCCCCTGCTGCCACAGCCCCCTTCTTCCATGCCCTCAGTGGCCCCAGGCTTCACTGTTGGGTCTTCAAGGAGGCAAATGGCCTTTTCCCCTCAGCCTCCCCTCTGCAGGCTTCTGGGGTCAACCAGCTGGCCAGCTCCCCATCTGCTTTCTACAGGGGGCCCTAAGGAGAGGCTATTGCTGCCCCAGTGAGACTAGCCCATCTGGTTCTCAGTGAGTTAGGGACTCACTTCAGACAGGCAGCACCTGCTCCAGGAGAGCCCTCAGCTCCTCCTCCTTATTCCTGAGGGAATTATGTGCTAAAAAAGTAACAATATTTTTTAATTCAACTAAATTTATCAATAAATGTGGAGACAAGCATGGCAGTGGGGAGCATAGGCCACTGGCTGCATGCAGGTAAGAGATCACCCTGCAGCCCACCCCACACCGAGGACAGGGACTTGGTGGTGAGGCTGCACCTAACCCTGACACAGCACAAGGGCTGGGCCTGCCCCAGAAACACCCTGCTCCTCTGTGCCAGGCACACTGGGTGTGGACAGGCAGGCTCAGCCCAGCGGGATCCAAGTGTGGAGGGGCTTAGTGTGGGGGGATCCAGGTCTGAGGTGAGAGGGTTCTGTGTGGGGGCAATCTGGGTGTGCGCAGCTCAGTGGGGGTGTGGGCAGCTCTGGATGGACAGGGGCTCATTGGGGCAGGGAGTTCTGGGTTCAGGGGCAATGGGACTCTGCAAAGGGATCCAGGTGAAGGTGGTTGGGGCTCAGCAGGGGAGGTCTGGTGTGGGGGGCTCAGGGTGTGTAGGTGCATCTGATTGGGACTCAGGGGTAGGCATCTGGGTGTGGGGGGCTCATCAGCACGGTCCAGGTGCAGGGTGGGTGGGGTTCAGTGGGGTGGGAGTTTGAGGGGCCTGCTTAATGGAGCCCCTGCTGCTCAGGGGACACCGCATGCTGGTTCCCGCTTCTCCCCCTATTCCACTACCCCTTCTTCTGCCCCATCCCCTTCCTCTCCCCTCACTCCCACATCCCCCTGTCCGTCCAATCCCATCTGGCTTCCATCCCTACTGCCTCTTCCCCTCACCCACCACAGCCACTCACCCTTGTACAGAAAACAGGATAGAAGGGGAGCCTAACGAGCACTAGGACCCAAGAGGAGGCATCCAGCTGCAGAGTCCATCTTTTTAATCTCGCCTCATAATGCTGTTCCATACCGTTAATCATGCGTGTTGTACCTTTTCCAATTCTAATGCATCTTTTTTTAGATGAGGCAACCAGTACTGCACCATATTCAAGGTGTAGTAATACCACAGATTTATATAGTGTCATTATATTTACTGTCTTATTTATCCATTTCCTAATGGTGCCTAACATTTTTGACTGTTGCTGCTGTTTTCAGAGAACTATCCGCTATGCCTCTAAGATCTCTTTCTTGATTGGTAACAGCTAATTTAGACACCATCATTTTGTATGTATAGCACTTAACAACCCTGAATTCCATCTGCCTTTTTTTGCCCAGTCACCCAGTTTTGTGAGATCTCTTTGCAACTCTTCACTGTCAGCTCTGGTCTTCACTATCTTGAGCAATTTTGTATTGTCTGCAAATTTTGCCACCTGTTTACCCTTTCCTAGATGATTTATCAAGCTGTTGATCACCACTGGTCCCAGTATAGCTCCCTGAGGGATACCACTATTTCCCTTTCTACATTTTGAAAATGACCATTTATCCAACCCTTTGGTTCCTGTGTTAACCAGTTACTGATCCATGACAGGACCTTCCCTCTTACCACAAAATTGTTACTGTAGTTCCAGGACATTAGTAGCTATGCTGCCATGAATGATTATGTGTTTTAAATATATGCACTGAAGGATACTTCAGTATGAAGTTGTGTAAAAATATCAATAAATTATAGAAACAAGTGTATGAAAACATTTAATAAAGGATCTCTACATGCAAAGACAAGCTGTCACCAAAGACAGTACTAATATCTTACTGTAATTCCACAAAGTGAGCTGAAAATCTTAACATTTAACAAGATAAAATGAGGTAGTTAATGATACCAATGCACTCTGCACTGAAACTAAGTACTTTAACTTCCACATGTTATAAAGGACAACTAATTTTCTTCACTGGATGCTTTATTGATGGAAGATTATCTCATTCAATTTACAGATAAATGCATGTGTGTAGTGATACACATTGCTGGATTGACTACAATATACAGTACCAGAATCTTTCCAAAAATTCTATATAATATTGTAATTAAACTGGAAGACAAGACTACTGGTAAGTAAAGGTATACAAAAGCAAACTAGTATTCTAATTAGTCATTGTTTAAATATATTTTCTCATCTAAAAGAACCACCCGTTAATTTAGAAAAAAATAGTTTGACTGGCAAAAAGGCTTTTAAAGAAAAATAACCTTAAAATAAGCCAATTGAAATAAGGACTAGTGCTCTGCATTGACCATTCTATTAAAAAATGGAGAACTATTTTGAAAAATCTTGTACGACATCTTTAAACTATAAATAAGCTGGGGACTGTTAAAGGCTATTTTTTCCTTCACAATTACCTTTAATATGGTCCAACTGGAATTTCTTAGTCCTTCTCAGTCAGAACATGGTGGCCAGATGCAAACACACAATGCTATGGGATGTAAAGTAGAGGCACTTTAAGCACTCCAATGAAGACAAAACCATTTCATCCTTCAGAAAATATTTTTCATAGCTACTTTTATTTTTGATATTTCTTTCGCAACTATTTTCTCAAGTGCTAATGAAGTAGTAATTCAAACCAATGACAAATTTTCAATTAGCAGCACATTTGGCAAGTCATACTACTGTAGAGAGGTGATCTGTAGAATGCTTATTACCTGCAAGTCTCAATCTACACTCAACACAAATTATATTGTATTTCCATGAGTAAAAATATTTTCTTTAATAAAGGACTTTACTGGTAGGTAACAACTGTATTTGAGGAGAACAAAAACCTTTACACTTATCAATTGCTATGAGAAGAAAACTTGTGTGTTTCAGTATTGGATAAAAATGATGGTATATCCTAAACAGGATGTTTTAAATGCACAAGTGTCCACTAACATCAAAGTGTTCTAACTACAAGTATCTTTTCTCTGCTTCTCTTAAATACAGTGCTCAGGGCAATTCACTGTCAATATATGCTTATATTATCAAGACAAATGTTTTATGATTGATGTTGTAGGAAATACAAAAAAAATATCAAGTCATTCAAGTACTCTATTACTGTGACTAATATGCTGTTGTTTTGAGTTAGTGTACAAACAGAGCCCACAGGCCCACATATTTAGATGCAGATAAAAATGTTTTTCATCTGTTACAGAACCTGCAATACATGTAACATCCACATAATTTATTTAAACAATCCATTTTGACACAATCCACAGACAAAGTGACAAGGTTTACTGTACAGTGATAATTTTACTGTACTGATGTAAACACATTAAAATGAAAAATATATGCAAGTATGTTTCAGATGAGTTTCAACCAACAAAATCAAAGCAGCTGACCATAGCATCCTTTTGCTTCTGTAAAGTCTAGCTCACAAGTTCAGGCTGTACATTTATTCTTTGAAGGATGTCTTCAGGCATACAAAAAACAGGACTGACAGGCTTAATTTGTTCGTCTCCTAACAATGATAGACCAGCAATTCCAAATAAGGTGTGAAAAGGATCCACCTGGAAAAAAAATTAAGAACTAATTTATACACACTGACAAAACTAAAACCCTTTGGATGAGTTTACAGTGAGACAATAAGATGACTGAGTTGCTAGAAGAGACTGAGAAAGCTCAATGGTGGTTGAAGATTTAATTTCAGAGAACAATGGAAGTGCACAACTTCCTGGTTTTTAGTATGCAATTACTTTAAAATATCAGAAGTAAATATTCACACACATTAAAAGAAACCAATAGCCAGCTTCAAATTGTATATATTTAGGATACAACTTTGAGATGTTTGAACTGATGATGTTTGTTGCCACCAGAAATTTTTTTAAACCTGAACTCAATAGCACGCATGCAGATAATGGAAAAAGTCTGACAGCTCTTTCCACCAATTCCTCTATGCATTGTTACAACATGGTAAATCTAGTTCCTCATGATTCTACTATATATAATGTAAAAGTTACATGCTAACCTGATGATCTAAAATCAGCTCTGCCATAAACTCCATATTTTTTATTCAACATTATATTGCTCTCTGGCAATCTCTCTGAACATACAGCTGTGCTGACAGGTCTTAGAGGGAGCCAAAGGGACCTGAATACACAACTGGAGGGAAAACAGAAGGAAAAATGGGGCATAGGAGAAGAGAAAACATAGGTAGGAGGTAATTCTCTGAGATTTAGAGATTCCTTCATGAGATTAGGAACAGATTTTCTAGAAGGCTGCTATACAGTTTGCATATCCCCTACACAGACAACATAGAAGGCTACTTACTTAAACCCTTAGGCTGAGGGTATGCCTTCAGTGATGTAGCCTGTATCCTCACTGCAAAGTGGGCATTGCCAGCCCTAGTGAAAACAGAAACCAGGGCTCTAACCTACACCCCCAACTGTGCCAGCTAGCCCAAATTGAGAGCACCACTTAGCTCAGGTGACAGGATTATGTGTGTGGACAATACCCAAGTAAGAGCCTGAGCTAACTCTGCTCTAAAGACAAACCCTTAGGACCTAGTTCACAGCTTACTAAAGCTCCTTACATTGCTCTGCAGCGTAAATAAGCAACAAATTAGGTGGAAAAAGCCCCCCATGCGTATACCATTTGCACCGGAGGCCTCGTTGGCCAGTTTACAGCTGGTTTAAGGGCTCTACACTGACCCAGCTACCAGCCTCCCACATATTATGATATCGCCTAAAAGCTCAGGCTCAGACCAGGGCCCTAATGTACTGAACAAAACAATTAAAAGACTGTCCCTTCCTCAAAGAGTTGGCATAGCAGGCACATCATGGAAATGTCCAGAATGCACAGCACTGGCTATTCTCTGCTTTCTAAGGCCCATACATAGGCCATTAAAAGCCAAATGTAAGCTAAAAGGATCTCTGAGGCTGCTCTAAATTTACACAGAGGGCTGGGCAGGCCCCTGCATGGACCCAAAGTTAATGTTATTTTCTAATTCTCCTTAGAGACATAAAAAGAAGCTTCCTGCTACACACGTAGGGCTGACTTAGCAGACATGGGCAGGCCCAAGTTAAGACAAAACAAGCCTGAACAAGTAATTGCTGAAACAGCTAACTATTGTGAATATATTTATAGCAAATACGGGAGGGAGAAACTAACTAAACTCACGATTGTGGGTATTAGAGAGACAAAGTGGGTAAGGCAATATAATTTATTCTGCTGGTGAAAGACAAGCTTTCTAACTACAGAGCTCTTCCTCAGGTCTGGGAAAGGTATTCAGTCTCATAGCTAAATACAAGACTAACAGAGAATTTAGCTTTAGTAGCAGCAGTATTCAATTCTCACAATAACTGCCACAACACTTTTATTGATGACCAGATTACAATTTGACCTTAAATATACTGACAGTTTTTAATGGAAAATCTTAAATGCTATTTTCACCTTCCATTTTCATGTAGCTTACTTTCATCTTTAGTTTATCCAATGCTTTTTGTTTAAATTGACACATTTGTCTTAGCTAAATTCTAAGCCAGTGGTTCTCAAACTGTGGATTGGGACCCCAAAGTGGGTCAAGACCTCATTTTACTGGGTTTGCCAGGGTGTAATGGCAGACCCAGTAAAATGGCAAACCCAGTAAAATGAGGCTGAAGCCCGAGCCCCACCACCTGGGGCCAAAGCCCAAAGGCTTCAGCCATGGGTGACGGGACTCAGGCTTCAGCTTCATCCCTGGTTGGTGGGGCTCAGGTTATAGGCCCCTGCCTGGGGCTGAAGCCCTTGGGCTTTGGCCCCCCCTGCCAGGATGGCGGGGCTTGGGCAGGCTCAGGCTTCAGTCCCCCCTCCTGGGGTCATGTAGTAATTTGTTGTCAGTAGGGGGCCATGCTGCAATGGAGTTTGAGAACCCCTGTTCTAAGCTATAAATATCAAGAGCATATATTCTTAATGTTTTCCAACACCACTTTTAACTGAAAAAAAATCAAATTTAACTGGACAAGTCTATTTAAAGGAAACATCTGTAGCTTTTATTTCTCTTTTTACTGTAGCATTTTAAAATGGAACATTCACAACTGCAATACAGCCTACAATCTTATTAGCCTGTTGCTTTTCAAGAAAATGTTTTTTCAGCCATCTGCTGGGGCTTTAAACAGGGAAAGGGTCCTGAATTCTCAGCATGGGATAGTCAGCAGATATCGAAGACTGTCACATGCTCCCTCAAGGAAACAGATATGCTAAGGTAGCATTACCCTGTTCATACTTGTGTACTACCTGCATTGGTTTAAATTTTAGTATATATAAAATAAAGCCTTTCGCAAACCTGTAAACTCTGAATTTCAACCTAAAATGTACATTTAAATGAACTTGCCATATCTCCTGGTCTGTCTGCAAATCCTCCAGTCTCCTCATCCTGGCAAGCCAAGATAAAGCAGCGCAATTTCTCTCTGTCAATCCAATGTAGTCTACCAATTATCTTCAGGGATGCTAACACCCACCATGAATAACATACATCTGGTAACTGGCAAATAAATATATTAGTAGAGTATTATGTTTTTTAAATACATGGGTTGCAGTAGTAACACTAGGTTTTGTGAAACCACTAGCCATATCATCAAAACATCACTGAGCAGAGTACAACTTTGGAGCACTGTTTCTTGGGCAGAGAACCAAGTTCCTCCACACAGCTTATTCACAGATGCCCTTCCTCCTCCTGTCCCCCAGCAGCAGAATCACAAGTGTTCTGCTGCTTTTGAAACCTTGCCAGTCTCTTTGACAGGATTTTGGCTCTGAAGAAGAGACTCATTTAAATGGTATTTTCGTTTTCATGGCCAAGAGGGACTAGAGACTATGAGGACAGTATCAACTAATAACTTAACAAAAAAACCTCTTAAGTTTGAAAGCATTTGTCTGCTGCATTCATTAAGAAAACTAGTGCTAAGAAGTCTCCACTTGCAAGTCAGTCATTCCAGATTACATTATTCAACTGTTGGACACACACAACAGGAGTCCCACAAAAATTATAAATCCAAAGTATTTTTCTGGTTACTTTATGAACGAACATTTATAAATCCTGTAGTATACAGCATTCCTAAAACATCACAATATATCCAGGCCCTGATTCAGCAAGGTATTTTGAGACCTTAAACTATGTTGAGAACATTGCTTCTTCTTAAACAGGGGCCCATACTGGATGATACAGCAAGGGAATCAAGATTAAAAGTAAAAACATTTGAAAAGTTTTGCAACAGCATTTGAAAGGAGGTCCATGATATTTTCCAGAAATTAGAAAAATAATATTTTTGCTTCTACACTAAGCAGAGTAAAAGTTTTTAAAAAAGTGAACCAAATACCTTCTCTGGCCTTCCATTGAGACCCCCAGAGGGTAACTGACGTTCACAAAGCCACCAGCCCAGCAAGTCAGCATTTATTTGGTGCAACTGGCCTGTTATAGCCAGAAATCCTGTGCAACAATAGATCTAAAATTACAGACATAAAGTTCATGTGTATTTAAGTAGCATGTAACAGACTAAATGTAGGAGGATCACAAAGCAGGATTCTATTCTTTCACATCATGCTAATAGTTAAAATAAGCAAGTTAGAAGACTAAGTGTTCAGTTTACAAAGGGAACATACTACTCCACTGTTAAGATTTTACTAATGTACTCTAGTTGTCATTAAAAGTAAAATGTAATTTGTAGAGTCCTAAAAAAATCAGATTGAACGTTAAGGTATTTTCTTAATGTATGCAGGACCTTAGAGGAGATTTAGAAAAAAAAAAAAAAAAAACTATTTTGGAGGGGAACTATAACACGTTTAGGTTGTATGTTTCATAAATAATTAAGTTTCTCTACATTGAGTAGTTTTTATATTTTCATTTAAACAAGTAAATCCTTCCAAATTACAATGCTCAGCACAATTATGGAAAATGAACAGCTGATTATTGTGATTAGATCTATATTGAAATAGTACTAAAATGTGTTAAAGTTAATTTCTATCAACTGGAGCTTCGGAGTAAGTGTCGGTATCAACTTCATCCAAAGTTAAGTTACATGTAAAGTTACATGGAAGTCATACAGGTCATCTTGCTTGGCATTTATCCATTCTTAATGAGCTCTAGTACCCCTTCACCTTACCTCCAGCTAGCCTGTCACCTTAAAAGAAATTCCACCAGCACCATCAAGAAGTTAACCAAGTTACCTCTGCAACATATCAGACTTTAGAATAAAAGGTAGGAGTGGAATCTACAGTAAATTCCACCTGAACTATAACTATGATTGGGCCAAACAAGTATTTTTGCTACCAGAAGGTAAGACATTTGACCAATGTGCAAGCCAGTGAAGTACAAAAAGTTCTGCTTAATCTAACAGAGAAAAGGTAGATGACTTCAAAATTGTGCTCTAATCATATTACAAAACTTGAGATATTTCCTCCCTAACAAATCTGAATGCTAACTACTTTTTGAACAGCTGCATACTTGTCTTTCTTTTGGAACTTTAGTTACATTTTTAACTCATCCTTGTGATGTTTGAAACAAAGATTCACACCACTATACAAAATTGTGGTTCTGATATGGATTTTTAGGGACAAAATTCAGCTCCTAGACCTCTTAACAGATCAATTCTGTACTTGTGTCATTTAAAGGAATAAAGTTCTTTACATACATTTAGGAAGTGACAAAAGTGCTTCAGTCTGCATTGCTGACAGGTTTTAGAAACAGTTATAAAAACTAGATATGAGAATTTCTTGCTAATTTAAAATATTTCAATGCGCAAGCAACAGCACTTACCTGCCCTGCATGCGATTCAGAACCTGGTCTACAACCAAATCCTCCATCAAAGTTCATACAGGACAAAACAAATTCGACTGCTTTTTCCACATCAATGACATCTAGCTTCCCCTGCAAGTCAGAAAAGTCCCTTTAACATTTTATACTACCACCAAGTAAATTAAGTATAGCTACTGTAGCATCATTCGTCTGCCATCTACAGAAAACTTAAATATTTGTATCTAATATCCACCCTATTGCAGAACTTACCAAAAGAGCTAGTGTTGCTGCAGCACAGAAAGAGAATCTTGTATCTATTTCTCCTACAAAGAGGGGGGGAAAACAGTATAACTACAGAGAACTAATTTTGATATATATAGGCACACAGAGGATGCATGCTATTAAAAAGAACACAAGAAGTCACTAAACATGGGTGTTTCCCTGAATATTAAATAGAAAACACTCCAATACTTTATACCAATATTTTCCTCCACCAGCCAATACAGTCACATTATTTCCCAATAGGATCACATTAAACAAATATAAAATGATCTGTATGTAACCATTAATTAATAATCCTTTGATCACTTAGTGGTTGCCAGATAAATATCCAGGCTTACTTCAGTTAAGAGAAATTTGTAAATATGCTACTTAATTTTTCAGTTTATAAAAAGCACCCAATGCACAATATGTGCACTGAATAGAAAGAGAACTGGTTGAACAATGTCAACACAGAGATTCATTCACCAGTAAATTATCCACATTGCCCACTCAGTTCTTCAGCATCATAATCTGAAGGCCACAAAGACTCAAAACTTTGGACAAAGCAAGTTAAAGAGCAGTGGACCCTCAAGAATACATCAACACCAGTCTCCACAATGCTCAAGGTCCTCAGCTGGTGTAAAGGCACAGATCAAGAAAGGTCTCTCATGCAAGGTCTACACTAGAAACTTTTGCAAGTATAGTTTCATCAGTTAGAGAAGTGATTTTTATGACATTTCTATAGTGGCTATACCAGTAATCCTTTTCCCAGTGTTGATTAGACCTCAGTAATTAGAACTCAAGTCAACACTTTAAACTGTACCCCAGATGCAAACAGGGAATGAGTGCAGTTTTTCAGAAATGGTATAATATCCTTGTTGTAGCTCGTATCACGAATCAAGCAGGTAACCACATTCTGTACTAGCTTTAGCAGCTCCTGAATTTTCCTCAACAGTAGCCTCATTTATAGTGCATTTCAGTAATCCAATCTGATAATTTACATTCTTGTCAGTATTTGTCATATCCCTGCCTGTGTATTTCATTACTATATGATGAAAAACTGGCTGCAATGTAAAAGTTGGTGCTGAATATGGATGACCATTTTAATACCAACACATAGCTTGTCAACTGCAAATTGATGTTTATGGATTTACATATGTTGAAATATCTTGATCGGTTCATTTTATTAACTGAAAAACGAAACAATGGTTTTGTTGTAACTGATATTCAACAGGATACAATACTGAAATATTAAAATATATTTTATATAAAATAAAGAATACTTTAAAATGTCGATAGAAGAAAAGGTGAACAAACATACCCTTTAAAAATAAAAATCAACCAGATCAATATTTTTAGAAGCTGTGAATGCAGACACAGATTTATGTCATTACTATGCAGAGAGGTAGTTCCTTTTACAAGCAATAAATATATACCACAACTTAGAAATCACTAGATATTAAACTCAAAGATTAATATCTAGTACAAATTACACTGAAATGAGAAGGCACTCTCCCATCACAAGCTCTAACAAGTTTTGAGCTTTGAGAAGCTTCTATGAAGGTTGATCAGTTTTTGTTACTTATATCCATTTTTCTGTAAGTTTAGAGTCATCTAGAAAAGCAATGATGTGACTGGCTGTTACACAATAGCTCCTTTTTACACAGTGAGGGAAATAAATGCAGTTCATGCATAATACAGTGAAAAAACATGCAGAGCAACTTATTCTTAACTGCTTCATTATATGAAATACGTCAACCCATCCATGAGACTTTGAAGATATAAGTTACCCCATTTGTCTCCAGCAAATGATCCATCTTCTTTTTGCAGGCTCTTTACGTAGTCAACAATTTTATTTACATCAACAACATGGAGACTATCATATAAGGTAAGAATCTGCAAAACAAAAATGACTCAAATCAATTACTAGAAGGGTAAAGTTTCCTAGAATTTACCAGAGAACCAGAGCCCTAGTTTTCTTAAAACAAAACACAGAACTTCATTTTATTGATGATGAACGTAAATCACTAACATATTAAACTACCATGAAAGCTTCAGCTAACTGCAACCTACCCAACATTACAAGCTTGATTCCATAAAACTTTAAAATTCCCAAATTAAGGTGAAGATTTCCATGCATGGTCTCAACACAATCTCTTTCTCCACTTTAAAGTTTTAAACAGTCATTTGAGTTAGGCTAGCATCATGGAACATGGTATTGATTTATTAGTGTCTGATTATGGTTGAATTGTTAGGAGATAAGAATGTTCTGGGCTTGTAGTAGCATGTATACCTAAGTAATGGAAAGGTGCAGAAAGCTTTTGGATGGGCAAATTTTTACAAATATAAATTCAAAAAACGAAATCACAATTTAAGAACTGTCAGACTTTAAAAGTCTAGACTAGTCCCCAATAAGCAGCACATGCTTGGTAATAGTGAGAAGAATTTTAAGTTATGAAATTTTTAGTTAAGTCATATTATAGGAAATAATGCAGGCGATTCATTCCATAGAGGTTTTTCCAAGAGCTTTTTTGAGCAGGATTATAAGGGGGTGGTAGAGAGGAGGAGAATTTCAACAAAATTTTGTAAAAAGCAACAAAGAGTCCTGTGGCACCTTATAGACTAACAGACATATTGGAGCATAAGCTTTTGCGTCTGATGAAGCGGGTATTCGCCCACGAAAGCTTATGCTCCAATACGTCTGTTAGTCTAGAAGGTGCCACAGGACTCTTTGTTGCTTTTTACAGATCCAGACTAACACGGCTAGCCCTCTGATACTTAACAAAATTTTGAAAAACTTCATCCAGGTCTAAGTTCTCTTTATCTGTTGACTGCAATTTAAATCCTATGGAGTTGCAGAAAACAAATTAGCAACTCCATAATTCCAGCTACAGTGTTTGCAGTAATCTATATTTTGCAGTTTACAGAGCATTGCATAATACTCCAGTGTTGCAATACGCTTTTTAAATTGAAAAAACAAACAGAACACAAGATGGCAATGTTAATATAATAGAGTTGGAGGACAGGAAAAGCAGAAATTAAGCTTCTGATGGTAATCTGCACTTATTTATTATTTTGGATTAGCAGTTTAGAATTCTTAATGTACAATATAAATGAATACAGTATGTGCAAGGTGGGTTAGTTTAGCATTGCTAAAAGAACCTTAGATTTGCCTTTCCTGACTTTATTTTAAATTTGCAAATTTAATTCTCAGTTTAGATTTTTATATTTACGCTGCAATCTATTGTGGTTTTATTATCTTATAGTAACATCAATATTAAGCGTAAGGAGTTTAAATAAATCGGAAGGACCTCAAGACTGGGCTGGGAACCCTACATACAAATCTTTTGGCTGGCCAGCGTGGATAGACCCAAACGGGATCCAGAATGTGTGGTAACCAATTAGGACACTGAGAATAATTTGTGCCCAAATTTATGACAAGCAGAAGTGTGGCTCTCTACCCACAATAGCTGTACTCACTCAAACTAAAAAGAGTGGGCACAGCAATTTCCTCAGGTCTCAGAGTAATTCTAGAGCTAAAGTGTGATAATCATCAACTTTAGATTCAGGTAATACATGCCAAGGCTCATCATTGACCTGCGCAACTCCTGGGCCCCATCTCTCACTACCAGACATCTATTCTATATTTCATCCTATTCAAGGATTACAACCCACAACACTTCTTCCCTACAAAATGATCTATGATGCAAGAGTATTTAAATGCCATTTAGATACATTTGGTCCCAGATTGTCAAACTATTTTACACTAACTTCATGCAGTTCTTGTGTTTAAAACTGGATTGGGTAACATTTCTTGGTATAGAGCAGAGGAAACTTGACTCTACAAGTAGTTAGAACCTAGATCTGTAATGGAGGTAGTGTGTAATCAGGAGGATCTCTGTTGTATGTCAGCTGCAGATACAAGACCACACCTTCACTTTGGGTACGTCCAGACTACCCGCCGTATTGGCAGGTAGCGATCAATTGATCGGGGATCGATATATCGCGTCTCGTTAAGACGCGATGCAGCGATCCCCGAACGCATTCCCCGTCTACTCCGGAACTCCACCGGAGCGAGCGGTGGTAGCGGAGTCGACGGGGGAGCCACGGCCGTCGATCCCGAGCCGTGAGGACCCAAGGTAAATCGATCTAAGATACTTCGACTTCAGCTACGCTATTCACGTAGCTGAAGTTGCGTATCTTAGATCGATGCCCCCCCCCCAGTGTAGACCAGCCCTTTGAAAGAAAGCTCTACATTATTAGCTGAATATGAGTAGGCAGGCAAGTTGGGAAAAAACTAAGGTATATGTTGGTTCAGAATGACAAGATGCACTTGGGTCAACCTCTGTGCGTGGGGCCCCAACACCACAAAAGAAAGTGTTTAATAGCTTACAATTAAAAAAAAATAAAAAAAAAAATCTACATTACATCAATGTTTTACTTCTCAAATTTGTATTGCTGTATTAGTAATCTTTAAAACAGAAGCTTCCCAATTAAAAGTTTCAATTCAGGCACTACACACAAAGGGGAAAGGGAAACATTCATCTCTACTAGCTTTAAAGAAATTGGGTTTATATATCCTTATTATACACGTGCCTTCTTATTTTCCCCAAAAGAGGTTGATACAATTCAGCATAATTCTTGTAGCCTTTTTGAAAACTCCGTAGACTATTTTATTTCTTTAAATAATAAAACATTACCATAGTTAGAAGTGTGCACATGAAGTACATGATCACTGCCTGAAGGTGACAAGCTGCTGTAAATTGTGCTTTCCAACTTGGTTCATTATACATGTCTAACTTGCAACAAACTTATTAGGGAATTCACAGAACTAAATCTATAAGTTGTAACAATTTTTCTCATGAACAAATCTGTCTCAAATAAAACATTTCAATGTGACAGCAGAAAAATGGAATACCTTGGTGGTATCTAGAACAGTCAAATTAATTTATTAAATTAAGCAGCTGTTTTCACTTACTTCCAATATTTTCTTTTCTATACATTTACCTGGACAGCACTAAGGGTATATAAAAGGTGAGGATCGTGACCTATACTGGCACTTATTCCACCGCACTCATGTTGACATGATTTGATGAATGCTAGAATTTCTTCTTTGGTCATTCGTTGCAGCTGTCCCATGAGATCCATTACGGTCAGTCCCCAGTAGACACCACTCATCCTCAAATATTCCGACATACAGTACTCCTAAGTAGTACAGAATTTTAGTTCTTAAGCAGACAAAGACATATAAACAAGTAGAGCCCTGCTCGGATACAAAAATTTGGATCCGCATCCGATCTGCAAAGATGGTAAACAATACAACTGCATCCGCAGATGCATATAGCTGCAGATAGAATGCAGATATCGGTGGATTTGCAGGGCTCTGTAAATTCTGCAATTTTGTAAGTTAGACTAAGTTCTCTGAACTAAAGATCTAGCCATTACCAAATCCTCCCCATCCAACCAACAAGCCAAATTGTACTTTATTCTAGGTTGTTTACTTAAGAAATATAAGCTTTCTAAGCTGGCTAAGATACTGCAACTGATTCAGTGAATTTCTGCCTTTTACATAATTTTTCCATCTTAGATGGCTGAGGCATAAGGTCAAGTTACTTGCCCATATTTATGCAGCAAGACAGTAGCTCAGACCAGATCATTAGTTACGATCTTCTTGGCTCTGGTCCTTTGCTCAAGTTACTAAACCAAATGGTCCCCTCAAAATAACAGCCTAACATTCAGTTAATTACATAATTGCCATTTCCCAAAATTGAAGCAAAGCAACTTAGAGCAGTAACAGGAAGAGAAAAACTCATTTATTGTAGCTTAATATATTGTTCTAAATCTTTCTTGATCAGCATTACCTATGATTTTTCATATTGTATTGTAATATTCCATAGTAATTTATGTATTTTCTTGCTACAGGTGAGCAGGAGAGCGAGACCATACACATGGTATAAGAGAAGGCAGGTTTCAGTCAGAGGCACCACACTTTAAAACGTAATTGAGACCATCTTGTTGGGAGACCTGTCGTATTTAAACATCTAGTTTTATTTTTCTGTACATTTTCTCTGTGTAGCCTTATGAATATCAAATAATATATACAGATATTTATAACTGGTTTAAAAAACCCCAAGCACAATTGCTACAGACTACTTTGGGAAAAGGTACTAACTGACTAGAATGTCCAATTCGCTTAGTTTGTAATTCTGTTAAAACTTATCTAAGCAGTACTACTACGAGCAGAATATAAGAGATTAATTTAATAAAGAATTATACATTATATGCCCAGCTGAAATCATAAGCCTGCCCAATATTGTAATACACATCACATGGCTAAACTAACAATGTCATTTTCTACTTAAACGTTGCTCCCAGAACTGACCCCATAACATGTCAAGATATGCCTCCAGCATACTGAGGATTGTTAAAGAGTATCTGTATTTGAAAGGATCTGCAAGTACTCATTCCCAAGAGAAAATTCCTCATGTTTTGGTATTTCTGGCACAAAGGTTAAGGCCAGACCATTGGGGGACTTGAAGTGGAACACTAAAAATCAAGCCAGACCGAAACAAGGAAACATCTGAGGTTCAATAATTAGAGCTGGTCAGGAATTTTCCAACAAAACAGTTCTGTCGAAAAAGCCAATTAACTGAACCAGATGTGTTTCAAAGCAACAGTGTGCTTTGACAAACTTGCATCACAGACTTCCTGGTGGGCTGCTATGGAGCCTAGGGTTCCAGGGTCTGAGGATCTCAGATAGGTAAGCCACGTGCACTACTTGAGTGCTGGGAACCTGGTTCACAGCTCAAGGGCAGTCCCATTATGCATGGCTTCCAGGCTTCTTGCAATGGAGTCAGGACCCTGAAAGCCCTGGCTGTAATAATGGCTCACCTCCTGTATCTGCAGCAGGGAACCAGGGTTCTCAGGGCTTCCAGGATCCCTGCCATGGAAACATGGAAAACCCACTGTATCCTGAACTCTCAAAGTATATCTACACTGCAAACAAAAAAACCCCAACCCACAGCTATAAATAGGGCCCTACCAAATTCACAGTCCATTCTGGTCAATTTCATGACTAGAGGGTTTTGGTCAATTTAACGATTTTAGATGTTTATATCTGAAATTTCAGGGTGTTGTAACTGTGGGGCTTCTGACCCAAAATGGGATGGGGGGAGGGGTTCAGAGGCGGGGAGGTTTTGTAAAGCTGTTGTAGCAGGGTCCCGAGATTGCTGAAGGCAGCATCCTCCCAGCTTCCTGCAGTTAGTGGAACTCCCAGAGGTGGAGGTGGGTAGGATCTCCACCAATGCTGCTGGGAGCACCCCAGCCAGGGGTGCCTAGCTGCTAGTCCACACCAGGGACAGATTAAGGCAGGGGGCCTGGCCAATTTAGGGATCCCCCCAGAAAAAATCAGTGTCTCAGCCCCAGATCAGAAGCCCCTACCAGGTCACCCTGAGCCCTGGCGGGAGCTGCAGGGGAAGAAGCCCCGACCCTGGGATGCCCCGAAGCCCAGCAGGAGTGGCAGCAGGGGGGAAGCCCCAAACCAGAGCTGCTCAGAGGCCAAGGTGGCAGGAGCAAAAGCCCCAAGCTCCGCACCCGGAGACACGGCAGAAGCCGCGAGGAGTGTGTGTGCGCATGTGTAGTGGAAGCCCCGACCCACCGGCTGGAGTGGCAGAAGCTCCAAGCCCAGGTCGTCTGTCCCCCCTACCGCCCTGGCTGCAGCCGTCAGGAGCGGAAGCCCCCAGAGGAGGAAGCCCTGGGCTTGGCACCGGAGCCGTGTGTGGGGCAAGCCCAGAAGCCGAGCCTGCCCCAGCTGCAGGCACCAGGAGTGAAAACCCCCAGCCTGGCAGGAGACGCTACAGGAGGACGCCCCGAGCTCGGCACCTGGACCCAGAGCTGCGGCGGGCGGGGGGAGGGGCGGGGGGTAGGAGGGGAGAGAGCCCGGAGCCCAGTTCCTGGGCTTCTGCAGCAAAGAAGTGAGGGTGTATCACCCTCATTTCTGCACTGCCTCTGGAGGTGGGTCTGATCTCCCCACCAAGAGCAGCCCTGCAGGGAAAGGACAACTCCTGTCCCTTCCCAGCATGGACGGACTAGCAGCTAGGAGCCTCGGGCTCTCAACAGCAGGGGAGATCAGATTTTACCGTGACACATTTTTCACAGCCGTGAAATTGGTAGAGCCCTAGCTATTGGTAGAGCACAGGTCTGCAGACTCAGGCTTGCGTTACAGTGCTAAAAACAGCTGTGCAGACATGGCCACACAGGCTGTGAAACCCAGAGATGGGGGTGGGTCTCAGAGCCCAAGAGGGAACATTTTAGCACCATAGGACAAGCCTGAGCTTGTAGACCCAGACTCTGAGACTCACTGCCACAGATTTGTTTTTCTGCAGTGTAGGCATACCCTCAGGGTCTAGGCTCCCCAGGTCTATAAAAGGAGGCTTAGAGGCCCCAAGAGTCCTGGCTTGAGCCCAGACTCCCAGGGTTTCCAGACCCCCTGCCATGGAGCCAACTGTCTCAGGAGTCTGGGAGACGGGGGTCCCCAAGCCCTGTGAAACTGACAAGAATCACATCAATTTAAGTCAGCAGCTGCTGGGGTCCAGGGAGCATATTTCATTTTGGATATACCAACACATGGTGTTTGTATTTCCCCAAAAGATTTTTCAGAATTTCTGGCTCACCTGAAATTTCAAAACATTAAAATTTCCCATGAACTGGAAATCCTCAGATTTGGCCAGCTCTATCGGTACTCATGTGGAAAATACTCAAATGGCAGAGTTAGAGATAGAACTCTTCCACATGGGGACAGATATTTCATTATTGTGTTCATCACTAGCCTAGTGCTGAATTCTTTCCACAATATTTGTATAGCTGTATTTTTTCAATCTGTCTCTTTGTTTGTTTTTTTTAAGATAGTTACATGGAATTGTATTTGGAAATGTAGAGTGAAAGCCTGGCCCTAATGCCAAAGCTCCCAGTGATTTCACTGGGACCAGACTGTCACTCCTTAGCTGGGAATCTTGCTGGATGATGCACTGAAAGAGGAAACAAGTATTTTGGCTGTTCATGAGACAGTGATAAAACAGTGATCTGGGTTCCATGTCAGCGACAGATAGCTGTGGTCATCTTCTACAAAATACTATAGGAGGAATGAATGACCAACCAACAATATACCGATAACAGTACGGTCTCTCTTTCATAAAACCAGATTGGGTTGGTTGGCTAAGGTTCACTATTAACAAGACAGAGGTATATGCTGGTTTGCTAGGAAAAATATATGGAAGAGAGAGGCGCACCTGCCTTGTGTTACCTGAATTCCAACGTACATTTTCTAGTAGAATCCAGATTAAATCCAGTGATGCTGAGGCTCATTATATAGCAGGTAGAAATACAACTATGGGACATATGTGATATTTGGGAAGACGTTGTATCACTATAGCACAAATTCATCCTAATAAGCAAAAGATCACATTTCCTAGGTCTCAGAGTAATTCTAGAGCTAAAGCAGTGATCTTCAACTTTAGAGTCAGATAATACATGCCAAGTCTCATCATTGACCAAGGAAAAGCACCATCTCCACCCCTCAGAACAACAGAATCTTTTCTTTTAACTCTTCCCCTTGCATTCAGAGACAAAAAGATACCTAACTTCCTAACTCATCACCTGCCAACCTACTCCTATCACTGCAGGAAATGGCAAGATATATCACTTATCAGAGTGATATCAATAGTGAAATAAGCAAATACCTACATAATCGTCTTTCTTTGCACCATAAGAAGCTATGTAATCTGCATGTTTCTCCAAAAACAATGTGCTTGGTGCATCAGGTTTTATAACAACATCCTTTTGTGGTGTTCCCTTTTAAAAAAAAAAGAAACAAAAAGTTAAGTTGTATTATCAATCTAAAGAGACCCCAGTACCCGATTTTTAATAAACCGATTATTGTTACAAGTAACACTTAAGTTGATCGTAACAGGTCAGAGCGAACAATTCATGTTATGTGTACCTGTCGAAGCTGAATATTTGTCAGCACTTCATTTCTTTTAAACAGACGCCTAAGTCTGCTTTATTCTTTCCCGATAAAATTTCCAACTTATTTGACAGAGCAAAGTCTATAAATAAAAACTTCGATAAGTTTACATTTTCACTAACCCAGATAAATATTAACCAAACTATTTTTTTTAAAAAACGACCCCCCCCCCCCCGGCAATCAAGGTGACGCTCTGTAGCGAATCCATGCAGACGGGTTAATAGCGATGCGCCTGCGGTTCACGCGGCTGGGACTGGGCCTCGGGCTCAGCGCGGCCCCGATTCCAGGTCAGGATTGCTCAGCTCAGAGTTCAGATTCCAGCTCCCAGCCTGCCCCGCAACGTCAGCCTGGGATCGCGCGGCACTGCCTAGTTACACATCCCGAGTCCCTCACAGGCCGGGCCTGAGGGCAATTCCCCCCACCCCCGTCTCCATCTCCAGCCCAGGCCCCATCGCACCCCACCCCCCTTAGCCACGTTACTCCAGCGGCCGCCGCCCCACTACCCGCGCGCTTGGGCCCCGCTAGGCTGGCAGCGGGCGCCGGGCTCTACAACCGTCACCGCGGGGCGACGCCTCCTGCGCTCTGCAGCGAACCAACTGGTCCAGGAGCGACTGGATCCAACCGAGCTCGCCGGGCGCAGGCCGGTGCCCCCGGCCGGACGATGAGACCCGACCTAGCGGAAGCCGGCAGCGAAAGGGCGGGCCAGGCCAGCAGCGAGGGGACGGGGAAGGAGACCTCCCGGAGAAGCCCGTGGCAGGAGCGAGCGAGCCACCCACCATGTTAGCAGCCTCCGCCGCACGCGCCACCAACCGTCTGTCCTACGGGTGGGATCGCGACTCGTTGAGCAGGAGAAGGCGGTGCCCCCGTCGGCCTCTCAAGACCCCGCCATAGCTGTCTTTGGCGCTGCCTGCACAGCCTGGTTAGTCTGCAGCAAAGCTCCACGTAGCCCTAGCGGCTCAGTGCGGAGCCCGCGCACAAGGCGCGCGCTCTGACTGGCGACGACCCGACCCCGCTTAGGTGCCCCACGCGCTGCCCGCCCCAGGAGGACCCCGGCGCCGCTTGCACAATAGACAGCGACCACGTGGGGCTCATAGGGGCTAGCAAGGGGGCCCAGCATGGAGAGGCCCCGCCCAGTCGCGCGGGTGCCGACGGAGGGACCAGGAGACGGAGGCTGAGCCCAGCTGCAGTTACGTCAGGCATCGGCCTGAGCGTGCGCACTCGACGCGACGCAGGCTCAACGCGCGCCCGCCTCCGCGCTGGGCCCAACGCAGAGAGCTGGGCAGCCCCGTGGTGGCATCAATGCACGGCGAGCAGTGCCACCTAGCCGGCCCGCTGCCCCAACGTACCGTCAGCCCCTTCTGCCCAGGGAGGGACGCTGCTTTTCACTCCCGCAGTGTTAGAGAGAGGGAGGCTTGTTTCGGGGGAGGAGGCTTGTGGTTTCCTTCTAAGGAATACAAATATTTTTAGTTTCAATCACTAATCCCCCCCCCCTTTTTTTTATAAACGTTGGGCCTTCCTGTGGGTTAACCTACCTGGGACTCCCCCCAGACCAAAGAGCAGATTGAGATGTAGCTTCTCGAGCTGTGGCAGCACAATGCCACGCGGAAAAAAATGAACTAGATTAACTGCAAGGGTGAATTTAAAACAAATTCAGGCGTGAAAGTTAATTCGGGTTTAGAGAGGGAATGAATGTAAAGCATAAGAGCTGTGCTTGATAATTCCGCAGGTGGACGCGTTCTGGAAGAGTGCTTTGGTCATGGGCAGCTTAATCCACTTTAAGCAGGAGCAGAACACTCTTAGGCCTGGTCTACACAAGAAAAGTCTTCACTGTTAACTACTGGAGGAGTGTAAAAAATCCACTCCCTTGTGAAGAACAGTTAAGCCAACATAACCCCTGGCGTAGCACTAGGTCAGTGGAAGAATTCTTCATAAGGGGAGCATAAATCCACCCCTAGGGGCGGCAGATTACTTACAGTAATGGGAGAATCCCTCGTGTTAGCATAGGTAGTGTCTACACTGAAGCATTACAGTGGAGCATCTGTGCTGCTGTGGCATTTTAAGTATAGACATCCCCTTAGGCCTGGTCTACACTTAAAAATTAGATAGACCTCAGTACATCACTCAGACCTATGAAAAATTTTGCATCCTGAGGGCTGTAGTTAGTTCAACCTCACCAGAAGTGTAGAGGCAGCTAGGTCGACAGACAACTGCTTCCGTGAACCTTAGAACCTTTACTATATGACTTGTAAATTGCATAATATGTATATACTTCATCCTTTCCCAGCGTGGGGCTCCTCTTCCGGCCTTATAATTCTATCATTCTGTAATACAAACTATATTCATTTTCCAAGACAGCCTTTGTTTGTTAAAGTCAGAATTCTAGGAGTGCAGTTATTGTTCTTTCCAAGGTTGTTAGAGTTGCAGTTTTCTAACACGTGGCTTGCTTCAAAGACAAACTTTGAAGGAAAAAATAAAGGTGAGCAACAGGGAATCTAAAATGCATAAAATAAATAAAAGAAAAAAAACTTCAGTTACACTCCTTTCCAATATTACTACTTATAAAAAGGTCTGGAGATAATTAAGTATTCTGCTTTTGCAAACTTTGATTAAAAATGTGTTCTGGAGCCACACTATTACAGATAAAACAGCATGCCAGCTCAGATGACCCATGGGAATCACTTTTTATGTGCGTGGGATGTAGGAGGGAGCCCCACAAGTCATTCCATTCTTGAGACAGAAATGCCATATAAGGTAATATGTAGGGTTGGAGCCATGTTGGTCCCAGGATATAATGGAGACAAGGTCAGTGAGCTAATATCTACTGGACCAACTTCTGTTGGTGAGAGAGTCAAGCTTTTGAGCTTACACAGAGCTCCTCTGCAAGTCTGGGAAATGTACTCAGAGCATCACAGCTTAATTAATCCTAGGAGAATTCAGGGCCCGTGCAGAATTTTTTTTCTCCACAGAAAATACATTCTGCTGGACAAGTGCTGCAGTTGTGCCTTTCGTCCACCAGGGGCTGCTGTGGCACTAGAACAGGGAATTCATTCCTAGGTGGGAGCAACCCCAGCTGAGATAGGAAAGAGAAGAGGCTGTGTTCCTCACAGTGCAAGTCAGGAAGCACAGGAATTGGACGGATGGACGGACAGCATAGGGCACATAGGCGGGGTGGAGGGGTCATATACTTGGGTTCAGAAGGGCTACTGGGGTGGGGAGAGTGGGACAGGAGCTGAATGGGAATGGGGGTGCAGAGACACATGGGGACACAGGGTCGACATGGGGGAGACTCCTTAACAATCCTTCCCCATCCCCCAAAAATACCTGTTCCATACTTCTCCCACCCACACTCAACAACCCACCAAGTTCACAACCAGGCTCCTTCCCAGCAATTACTTCCTTCTCCCTCAGCTTCTCAATTATCCTGACTCTCCCAAGCCTTTGCACTGCTTCTGAGGGGTGCAGGAAATATGGTTCTGTATTGTTCTTTAAATTATTACTCAACGTTCTATATTAATATGCCTGCTAAGGAATCTATTTGTCCTAAAGCTTTTTTTGTTGTCTGTATTGTTACAGACATACATGCTGACAAGTATTTTGAAATAAATTACCAAAATAATTGAAACTAGTGTGATTATATTTTTATTTTTACAAATAAAATATGCAGATTTTAAAATACTGTGCCCATAATTTTTAATTTTTTGGCACAGAATTCCCCCAGGAGCACTAAATACAAGGTGGAACAGATTGTTTAGTATAAGTAGTTAACACATATCTCAAGGGACCAGTCAAGGTGAAATGACCTCTTAACACCCCTGCAGTCATGGGGGGGGAGGGAGGAAGGGAACGCAGCTGTGGGGTGTCTCTATTCAGTCCATGATTTTTACTATCTAGCTCTAAATCGCCTTCACTGAACAACGTCACCCCCCCAGAGAAGTAGATCGCACCATGGAACGGGCCACCCAAATACGCCAAGAGAACTGGCTTCAATAAATAAATCTCACACAGGAAAATGATAAAAGACAAAAACACCACATCACCTGCAGGTGAACACTTTTCACAAAGTGATCACTTTACATCTGACCTATCAGTCCTCATCCCCAAAGGGAACCTGCACAACAGTTTCAAAAGACAAGCCTGGAAGCTTAAATTTATAACTTTACTAGGACACTAAAAAACATGGACTGAATAGAGACACTGGATTTATGGCTTATTACAACAATGTATAACCCACTAACAACCCCCCACATCTTTCCTCCCCTATGACTGGAGGGGTGTTAATGGGCCACTTCACCTTAAATCATCCCTTGAAATTTGTGTTATCTACTTATGCTAAACAATCTGTTTCACATTGTATTTAACTATGACTCTGGGTACATTTTCCAGACTTGAAGAAGAGCTCTGTGTAAGCTTGAAAGCTTGTTTCTCTCACCAACAGAAGTTGGTCCAATAAAAGATATTACAATAACTCCTCACTTAATGTTGTAGTTATGTTCCTGAAAAATGCAAATTTAAGTGAAACGATGTTAAACTAATCCAATTTTCCCATAAGATTTAATGTAAATGCAGGGGGTTAGTTGCCAAGGAAATTTTTTTGTGGCAGACAAAAGGCATTATATACTGTACAGTACTGTACTGGGGGTGCAGGGTCTGGGAGGAAGTTAGGGTACGGGAGGGCGCACAGGGTGGGGGTGCAGGAGGAGGCTCTGGGCTGGGGCAGGCAGGAGGTGTAGAGCACTTACCTGGGGCAGCTCTTGTTTGGTGCAGGGGGTGTGCAGGTGGCTCTGCACAGCGCGGCACAGCCCCCCTGGCCATGATTCTGGGAGCCGTGATTCTGGGAGCTGCCCCCCACCTCCCCGGCAGGCAGGGCCACCCAGAATGCAGGGGCTTTAGGGGCTGCAGGGCCCTGGGCTTAGGGGGCCCCGGGGCCCTGGCCTGCAGCTCTAAAGCCCCTTTCGGAATGCGGCCCTGTGAGCATGGGCTGGAGGACTCGGGAGGAGCAGGGGCCGCCGTGCGGCCAGCAGCCGGAGAGAAGTGGCGCTTTCCCCTTCAAAGCCGGCCGGAGAGCAGGGGAAGCGCTGGAAGGGAAGGAGGGAGGGAGGAGGAGGAGGAGAAGAGGAACTTGTGCAATGCTCCCTTGTAAAGTTAGCCAATCGATGTTATAAGGGAGCATTGCACAACTTTAAATGAGTATGTTCCCTAATGGAGCAGCGACATAACTTCAAAACAACATTAAGTGGGAGGACGTTAAGTGAGGAGTTACTGTACCTCACCCACCTTGTCTCCCTTTTATATGCGAGATCTGCACCATATCTGGGAGGAAATGTAAATTTCTTGATTATACTTCCCCATTGCTGAAGAATCGCTGTTTAAATGATAGCCCACTTGACTTTATTGACCTGTCTGGGGTTGCTATGTGCCTTTGTCTCTGAAAAACTAGTTTGTGGGTGTTACTGAAATATGTTGTAGTTCTGGGTAACAGTCATATAGCAAAAACTCATAATTTTACATCCAGTAATGCTACACACATCTTAATAGGACAATGATGTTCAGCAGATTATGAGTTTCTAAATGATACCTCACAAGTCATGCTTTGTACAAAACATATAATCATATAAAAGTGGTGAATATGGAGTACAGGGTGTCACTGTATAATTTATATTTGTTATTTTGATTTGTAAAATGTTTTGGGATCCTTAAGGATGAAATGCAGTATATAACAATGTGATGTAATATGTAGAAAACCACTAGAAAAAGAGGATATTTGAATGTGAATTTTCAGTTTATAGTTCTTTGTATGCATCACCTGAATATGTTGCAGGATTGACAAACTCTGAGTTAGCAAACTGGCAATTTACAATAACTAAAGAAGATTAAAAAACTACAATAAACAATAAATGGCCTGCATGCCAGACTTTGCCTTCTATCGAATGCTCCGGTCAATAATAATAGTAAAAAAAAAAAAAATAACCCAAGTCCTCTATAAGCACCAATCATGGGTTTGGATGTTAAATTTCAGATGGTGGAGAAGACTATAGTTAAACAAAACACTCAAAGAGGAATATGTCCAAGAAACCAAGGAAAGGTGCATGGATATTGAGTTCTATGAGAAATCTTTCTTGGTGACCAAATCTCTCAGAAAATTGCCCTTTTCAGCAGTTCCCAGAGCAAAGTTATTTCTAAGTATAGACTGATAGAAATGACAGAATTCACATGCTTAACATACACGAATAAACGAGATCACAAGTCACTCCAACAAGACAAGTAAACACTCCAAAAATCACACAGATTTTCCACTAGAGTGCATGCTGTAAGAATGTATGGTGTAGCCAAGTGGGAAGAAGCAGTCTTAATTTTTTTTTTTTTTTTTTTAAAAACACACACCCAGAAATGGATTTCACACATGTTACAGCTATTAACACCATTTAGATTGATGGCGTGGTTTGTCTAGACTTCTGAGAGGTAAATCTACCAAATATACCATGGTTAGGAAAGCAGGGATTGACAAGGAGAGCAAGACCTAGGAGGGTTAAAGTGTGGAGAATGGTCTTCTACAACCACCATCTGATTTTCCTGTTCCTTTGCCTGTTTTGCTACCTAAGTTAAAGGTTGAATCAAGTCACCATAGAAGAGATTCTCCTAGAAATGATAATGGACATTTTTGTTTTTTTTGTTTTTGTTTGGTGAGCGGAGGCATTGTTGTTTCGTGTATACTTGCCTTGAAAAAAAACAAACAAAAAAAAACTGTCCCTTTTTTCCCTTCTGCTCTTTTCCCTACTAACATTTTTGCCATTTCCCTTTTTGAGCATGTCCTGTCCCCCAAGGAGGTTTATAAAACTGCGAATAGTCACCAGGTTCTGCATGTTTCTATTATCCTAAGCAAAGCCACACATAGGAAAGAGTGGTATTTAGCTAATAGTTCTCTATATTTTGCCTTATTCTATTTATTTCTTTGATTCTTATAATTTCTGCAAACTGAGAACACACTAAAAAAATTCCAAGGATGCAGAAAGGTACAAAAATATATACACTCTGGAGCAGTTCAACCACTGTAATGTAGAGATGGAGCCCAACTCTGTTATAAAAGGAGCCTTAGTGTATTACTCTGGTTGTGTAAAGGGGCCTTAAAGTGGGCAGAAACAGCTTCCTGAGAATAACCCCTAAGCAGAGGGTCTCCCCAGCTGTTGTAGAGATAGCATAAGACCTCTGCACTGGCCTTGTTTCCAACCACCACTGCAGGAATTGGACTGGGAGTGTGACCAGAGCATGCCGCACTATGACTAGTCTCTGCTTCCCAAGGGCTTATTGGAAGCCATGGGAAAGAGCACAAATTAGAGCAGCCTTAGGGCAGGCAAGCCAAGCTCCTGCAGGGTGCCAGAATGCAGGGAGCACAACCCTCCCTCAAATGCAATCAGAGCTGCAAGTGCAATTGACTGAGAAGAGGCCCATCACCTGATATGCTGAATTGGTGCGTTTACTAATTACATCCTCTGAGGAGGGGCTCTGAAGTTGCCAATATTTCATATGCATACATATAGCTTGTTTCAGGAACCAAAACTTCCCATTTACAAAAATTAATGTTATGGTTTGATGAAAGCTAGAGGTAGGAAATGAAGAAAAGCACAAAGGACTTAAGACATTATCCACCTAATATATTACAGTGGAAATCCTCTTTTGAGGCATCTTAAAGACTGACTAAAATGGAGAAGATGATTCAAGAGAATACATTTTGGACACATTTAGTGCCAGATTCTTGCCTTCCTTTCACCCTACATAAGCCCAACAATCTCTGAGATAGCACAGGATGCAAGTGAGGGTAGAGTTTGGCTCTTTGGATTCATTATACCTCTTACGTGACTCAGACATGTTAGTGGGAGTAACCACAACCTTAGTGATTTTATCAGGAAGCATTATCCCTTTGAAAGGCCTAATGCAGGGGTTCTCAGACTTTTGTACTGGTGACCCCTTTCACACAGCGAGCCTCGGAGTGTGACCCCCCTTATACATTAAAAACACTTTTTTATATTTTTAACACCATTATTAATGCTGGAGGCAAAGTGGGGTTTGGGGTAGAGGCTGACAGCTCGTGACCCCCCATGTAATAACCTCGTGACCCCCTGAGGGGTCCCGATCCCCAGTTTGAGAACCCCTGGCCTAATGTCTCCTGGGTGCTGGTGTGTTACTGGGAGTATGGCAAACAGTGGGTTTTACTACTCCTTCACTGCAGCACAGCCATAGCACCTGCTGGACGGTGGGTGAAATCATTGCTGCAAGCAGTTGGAGCTGGCGCCCTATCCTTGAGTGCCCCATCGCTGAGAGAAGGATTATGCTTCCTTCTTTTTAAAGGTTCTCTGTGTTCTTTCTCTATCCTACTGCACACACACACTGGAGGGAAACTTTTGCTTGTATACATTTAAGTGCACTCCATTCGAATCATATCTTTTTAGAATGCAAGTGCAAAAATGACATTTTAAACTAATTTGTCTTCTTTATAGAGTGGAGTGACTGTCAAGCTTTTTTTAGAACAGATTTTTTTTCTTTAGTACTCCAAGTAGCCCAAAGCACATAAGTTAGCTACTGTCACTGCAATGACTGCAGGCAAAATGTCAATGCCATAAACACTCAACAATAGCTCAAACAGCATTCTACAGATGAGAATTTGTTTTTAAATTGAGAGGGGAAGTGTTGACCCTTATTCTTTTCAAGTAGATCTGTGGGATCTTTATCTTCAATTTGGACTAAGAGTGATAGATAAAATATGCATGTGTCAGATTTTTTCACAAGTGAAGCCTGAGCAGCTGAGAACCCAGCATACAAGTAAAAAGTGAAATTGTGCAAGTGACACTTTAGACCAGCACGTTACAAGACAAGCAGCCTAATTCCTGGTGTTTTATCATTTACTTCAATAGGAGCAGAATCACAATATGAAAAATAAAGTTTTTTCGAGTGCATGTTTTTTTCAATAATAGATGCCAGGTGCAGGCTTCCTTCATGTAGGCTACATAGCAGTTATGATTCTGCTTTCATGCGCACAAGCACTTCGGTTTTCCTTCAGTAAGACTTCTATGAGGATTAGCATTTTGCTAGTACTACCCGAAAACAAAATTAAGGTGCCTCGTGGCACCTTAAATACTTATTTCAATAAGTTTAGACAAAAACCTCCTACTACAAAATGATTCACCCTCAACTAGGAAACAGAACAGAGAGAATAAAACTTGAAATGTGAATTTAGTTCTCATGAAAGACTGACAGTCCTGGAAACTGACATGATACTTGTTCACTTCCAGTGGCTGGATTCTGACTGCTGTTCAAGTAATGCCTGAGGTTAGTTAGATCCCCAAAACAGATACATAGCATGCACAGTATCAGTGTAAACTTCCCCTCCTGAAACCCCACTAAGTATCAATGATAATTTGGAAGAGGTGAGTTAGTCCCAATATGAGCAAGATTTCCATGGCTAAGCTATTCAACCCCTGGCCTCGACTGAGATGGTCCATTGCAGTGGTCTGTGGCATGGATAATGACCAGATAGGAATTAAAGTATAATTATTAACTCATTCACAAAGATTGACTAAAAATGAATTGTCTAATTCTGAGCTAGACCTGATTTGAACACGTAATTTAAAATGTCACATCTTAATATCCTATCACCAATCATACCTCACAATGTTATACAATTTCTACCATAGTCTATTTGAAGGAAATTGGTCCCCATTTGAAAATAAAAATGAGTAGTGCACATCTGTTTTCTGAGAATAAGTAGTTTATTATTGCAATTCAGCACTATGACTAACAGAAACAACTTTCCAATCATTTACTATTAAACATGACAGGAAAAAAACTTTGCATTGTGTGATTTACTGCTTCTATCAATCATCATACTTGAGTTTATGAGGTAATATTTATGTTTAATAGGGATACTATAACCAAAAATGTGGCACAGTAACCCTTATGGTGATTTTGAATGCGTGCAGTTCAAAGAAACTAAAATAAATCTGAATCTGAATGATCATTGTTCAGTTTTTCTGCTATAAAAAAAAAAATGTAGGTAATGAAACTACTATTGCGCATAACATTAGTTCCCAAAAGTTAGTCATAGTATTTATCCATAAAAAGAAGTCTTATTTTAGGAAGGAGAGAGAGAGGAGAATGAAGTTTGTATTTTTTAACTGTATACAATACGATAGCTTTTTTTAAGGCACAGCAGGTAAAATACATGCATCCAAATAGACAGAATATAAAAAAAAAAAAAAAAAAAGTCATCAGCACTGGTTTCAGATGAATAAGATGAAAGATGGTGCACAAGTAAACCAAATTTCATGTTATGTTATGCCATTGTAAACAAAAACAGGTTTTGCTCATACATGTATAGACAATTTACAAGTAAAGTAAAATAAAGTGATAATTCAGCTGCTGTGATATTATTTTCCTAAAACAATAATCCCTGTTTTGATGTCAGAACATAGTATTATAATTTAGCAGGGCCTAAACATTCACCTATACTTAATTTTAAATATTCTGAAAGTGCAAGTTTCTAGAACTCAAAGCTGTAAGTACACAGAAGAAATTGAAACCTACGAAGCAGAACATGATCTCTGAGGAAACAGAGTAATAGCTTTTTTATTAAAGGTTTCGATATTTTTTTCTTTGCTTAGGTCCAAGTCTGCTCCTACTGAATTCAATGATGAAACTACAATGTACTCCAATGTGTGCAAGTTTGGACCCTTATAAGGAGAAAAAATGTACTATTGAAAAAACAATACCATATTGGAGGCCAAAGATATGCTTTAGAAAATACCAAATTTGTATTGGGGGGGGGGGGGGGGAGGAATTGATGTTTAAGAAAGTACATAATACAAAAGTGTGAATGAAAGGTTCTTATTTTTTTCTTTTTAAACTGCATTCAAGAAAAAGTTTAAAGCCCTCTTTTCCTTTATAAAGGCATCGACAGCCAACATCAATGCTTTTGCTTAACTTTTAAACTTGGCAACATGTTCACGTGCTATGATCAGCCTTTGGATCTGAGCTGTTCCTTCGTAGATCTGAAAAGAATTATGATACCATTACATTATTGTGTTACATTGCCAGTTTTTAAAAGCTTTTTAAAAATAGCAAGATCAGTTTCAATACAACATACAAAACGTTAAAAGCTTCAGAAGTATGTAAAGCAGTGTTGTTCTTTTTACCTAAACTGTTCATGGCCACTTCCCCCCTTACTTTCTTAACTTCTTTTGTTGTCTCTGTCTCCATTTTATCAGGTTTTCAATGCCTCCCTCCTCCCACAGTAATACTGTGTTCTTTCATCTCTCAGCCCACATTTTTGTATCTTCTCTGGCACGGTGTTCTCTCTCTCTCTCTCTCTCTCTCCCCCCTTATCTCCTGTTGCTCAAACCACCCCTTTGTTTTAGCCTGTGTGCTGGCAACAAAATGAAACATTTACTATGAAGCTCTTTGTGCTAGGATTGAAATCAGGATTTTGGTCTTTATCCTTTTTGGCAGTACACAAAAATAGGCATGATGGGAGACACAAAGTATGATTCAGTGGTTAAAGTACAAAACTGAGTTATGATTTCAGTTCCTAACTCTTTTAAAGACTTTTATAGATTTGGTCAAGGTCACACAGCCTCAGTTTCACCAACTGCATAATAGGGATAATTATCTTCACCACCAGGTGTTTCAAGATTCCCAGAAGGAAGGCAGTATATAACTGCAAAACATTATCTGAGCAACGAAAAATCTACAAGTCTTGTTACGAAATATCACAAGAAAGGGTTCTGTTAACACCCCATGTTTGAAAACAAAAACAAGCTTCAGGCTCAAGAATTTTGGGCACTTTAAGCACAAAGGTTATTTTTTAAGTTGTGCAGAGGGAGCTTCTAAATAAGATCATGGTCACGGTTACTTAGATTTGTAATTGGGACTAAATTGAGAACAACAAAGGGGGAAAATAACTATCAGAACAGCCTATGGAAGAATGTATGAAGTACTGAATGAAATCAAGTACAGAAATGGAACAAAAGAACCGATGGGAAACAAAGTTTTTGCAGATGAAGCATATGGCCAAGAGCACATGCAGTCTGTCATCAGGCAGTGATACAGTAGGGCAGACAATAAAGTGCAAAAAGTAATCGAGGGCAAGAGACATGTGAGGTATCATGCATCAGAAATGGGAGGATGGTATAAATCTGCAATAAAACAAACTCTTTCAGAGGCTGGGATACTTACTTTACAGTGACAGTGCATGAAACACAGTAAGGCATTTAAAGACTCTTTACAGACAGATGAGGCAACACTGTGGATTATCCTTTTCCATAAACTTCCCAAAAGATTAGGAATAGGAACTAGAACTAGAGAAGTACGGTTAGATGGAATATTGAAGGAAATTAGAATCACTCCAAAACATGTGACCAATGATCAATGTCTGAAGAATGAAAATTCCTCAATCCAGACTTCAGAAGAATGTTGCAATCAATTCAGCAAATTTATTATTTTTAAAGAAAGTTTAATAATGAAACACTGCTACAAATGTCAACAGGAGACCAATCAAAACCACAAAAGAAACTACTTTGAAGCTTTCTTCTCTTTAATTCCTTAGACAATTAGCTGATGTATCACAAATATAACTCCTGCAGAGAGATTAATGGGGATAATCATAACTAGGCTTGGAAGGATTAGATTTTTATCTGTAAATGTCAGTAAACATCGCTTTCACCATGCACAAACTGACAAAAATATATTTCCAACAAAAATAACTTAGGGTCAACACTGCTTGAGAATTTATCAGAGTCAAAATCCAGCAATTTAAAATTAGTGTTTTACAAAGGGACTAGCGAATAAATAGTAAAACAGATACAATTTCTTGATTTACGGATATTTACTTTGTTTATTTTGACATGTGATATTAACAATTTATGTATTAATGGTTTATAAATCTTTAACTTTTTGAATCTGAACATCTACTGTCATTAAATAATTGCCTGACCTCACCATAATTTCCTGCAATGGTGAAAATTTAAATCAATAAAAATTTTAAAAATTCTTAAATATAAGCACAGACATTATCCATCATAATTATAAAAAAGATTAATCAAAATCAAAGTTCCGAGAAGATGAATGTAGATAATTTAGAGACATACTCAGATTTTTTCTTTCAAATAAAAATCATTTACCATTCCCTCAGTCCCAAAGAAAACTGATGATAAAAATCAACAATAATAAATCCAAGTTCCTGGGAGAAAGATTTAAATAATAAAAATACTTATAAGGCAATTATAGAACTAAAAGGCTCTGGATACTTTGGACAAGAAACTGTTACTTACTGCGACTGTGGTTCTTTGAGATGTAATGCAGACATGTATTCCACTTAGATGTGTGCGCACACCACTTAGATGTGGAGAATTTTGCCTAACAGTCCCTCTAGAGGGGCAGCACTCGCACCTTGAGGCCATAGCCCCATCCCTGGCTATTGAGGTATTGCCACCCTGACCCTCCTTAGTTTCTTTGCACTGAATGCCCAGAAACTAGATGCCTATGCAGAGGGGACAGAAGGTGGGTTGTGGAATACACATCTGCATCACGTCTCAAAAGAACTACAGTTACAGTAAGTAACCATTTCTCCTTTGAGTAAATGCTGCTGGGTATTCCACTTAAGTGACTCAAGCAGTATCTGTAGGGGGTGCGGCTCAAAGTCTATTTAAACAAGGACTGCACGACCACCTTCCCAAAGTTTGCATCTGCTCTGGATACCATGGTAATGGCACAATGGTTTGTAATGTATGTATCAACAACCATGTGGCAGCCCTGTAAATATCCAATACTGAGATGTCACTTAGGAATGCTATTGATATAGATTGCACGCTCATAGGATGAGCTCACACCCCACAGAGGAAGCATAGCCAAAGCGATTTCATATGCAGTCATGATGCTGGAACTTATCCACTTAGAGATCATCTGTCCCTTCGTACTGCCTGCAGACCACACAAACACAGAGACGGTGAAGCCTGAAAGGCTGTAGTCCTGTCCAGATTGGACATCAGACTATGTCTGACCTTCTATGTGTGAAGACACTGCTCCTCTGGAGATGAATGCTGCTTAGGAAAAAACACAAGCAAATATACTGCTTGGTTTAAATTAAACAGAGACCACTTGAGAGACAAACTTTGGGTGCAGCCGAAACATCACTTTGTCTTTGGAGAATTGTGTGTAAGGAGGCTCTGCCTGCAATTCACACATTTTCCTCGAAGAAGATATTGCCACGAGGAAGGCAGTTTTTTGACATGAGAGGACAGGGGCAGGATGCCTGGGGCTCGAACTGAGGTCCCATAAGAGTCACTAAAACGGTGGTAACATCCCACAAGGGAACCGGTTCCTGCACCGGCAGGTGGAGATGAAGGATTCCTTTGAAGAATCTTTCCACCGTGGCTTTGGAAAACACCGATCTTCCATGAATGAGTGGCTGAGATTGCTGCTAGATGCACCCTCAATGACTTAAGTGTAAGCCTGACAACTGAAGACGTAGCAAATAGTCCAAGGTGTCTTGGATACTAGCTAGTGTCAGCTGAACTCCGCAGGCCAATGACCACATTGAAAAACGCTTCCACTTTGCCAAATAGGCCATCCTGGTAGAGGGTTTTATACTACTGAATACGTCTATCGATCAGCTGCAGAACATCACTCTTCCTCCTCATTCAACCACAGAGCAGCCACATCATAAGATGCAGGGAGGGAGCTGAGTGCCGGATACAAGGTGTGACCGTAGTTCTGCATGAGCAGGTCAGGATGGAGAGGAAGGAGGCCGAAGTGACAATGCAAGAAGGTCGGAAAACCAGCACTGCCTCAGCCATGCCAGGGCAATGAGGATGAGCTTGGCCCGATCTCCTTTCAGCTTGACGATGACCTGTGGAATGATCAGGATCAGAGGAAAAGCATGCAGGAGAGCCACTTGCCAAATCAGATGGAAGGTGTCCTTGAGGCCACCCTGAGAGCAGAAGAGACGGCATTTCCTGTTGTCCCTTGTAGCGAACGGGTCAATCATTGGGATGCCCTACGCTGCAAAGATGACTTGCAGAACACAGGGCTTTAGAGACCACTCATGGTTCAGGGGAAAATTCCTGCTGAGATGGTCCACAAGATGATTCCTGCCCCTAGGCAAGCGATCGGCTAGCAGAGTCAAAATGGGCACTTGGGGGGCACCAGCAGGAGGTGTATCGATTGGTCAAACCATGAACTCGACTGCCTCCTCGTCTGGGATCTATGACCCTTTCTGAGGTAATCCCGCTGTCTCAAGGGAGCAAAAGGTTGCCCAAAGGTGCACTGCAGATGGTATTGTTGCTGTGGTTAACCACTGAAGTGGCACCTCTTCACTGCTGGTGTATACACCCCTCAGGAACTTAGGGTAGCCTTAAAATCCTTGAAGGAGGGTAGGGTCTCATCCATCTTGTGTGAAAACACCACCCAGCCTCTATGCCCTGCTGCATGTCAGGAACAATGCCTGAATTCTGCAGCCAGCACGTTCTTCTCATGGTCACCACAGAAGCCATAACTCTGTCCGAAGCATTTATGACATCCAGCATGGACTACAATAACGTGTTGGCCACTAAATAGCCTTCGATGATAAATGCTCAAATACTTCTCTGGAGATTTCAGGCATTAGAGGCCAGCAGGCACTGGGCCAGGGGCCCCTCTGCCAACTGCAAGACAAGTGCCACTTCTGGTGCCCATAGTGCTCCATAAATGGTCCCCAATGTGGGTCAGGTGATGGAGAGCAGGAGGACGAAGATCCCGACCTCAGTGCCGAGAAGCCTTGGGTTTCAGGTATAAAGGTGGAGCCAATCCTGAGGGAGCGAGTAACCAGTCTAACTCATTTGTTGCCCAGAACGAGGCAAGGACTGAATGAAGCAGTATCAAAGGCACTGAGTATGGCGGTGCTGGAAGGAGTGTCGACCCTGAAGTCAGTGGCATTACTGAAGCAGGTGACGGTGATGAAGTGGAGGGTGGTGAGAGCTGCCACAGTAATGTTGGCAGTGCCAAATGCAATGGTGCC